CGTGAGTGAGGCTTCTGAGGGCTGGCAGTGTTCTGTCTCCGTCTTGGAAGTGGTTACACAAATGTGCACTTTGTAAAAATCCACCAGGTTTGTACTTAGTATCTGTGTGCTTTATCATATATATAGTGCACTAATACCGCAATAAAAAAAAGTTTACGCAAAAATAAAAAGGAGAAGTTTTCAGGGTACCTTCTTTAATTATATATAAGAATAATAATTAGCATTAAAATTGTATAAAATAGATACTGGTAAGTATTTAAAATAGGTATATATTCCTAAGTAATTTAAACACTTTGAGTTTATGTATAACATTATAGAAAGTTCTGTTGCAAAAAATAAGAAAAATTAAATTTCAGCTGGCTCTTATTGAAGGGATCATAAATTCAAGGCACTTCAATTGGAACGACACTCGCTTTTGAAAGTTTCTCACTTTCTATTTGAGCATTTTTTTCTCTCCATTGCATGGAAGTGCACAAGTTCAATGTGGAGAGAGCAGTGTCTGTGTGTGGTGTGTTTGTTGGGTTGGTCAGCGGCAGGGAAATAAAAGGAAACTAATGGGTTTAATCGGATAGGGTAGGTAAAATTGTAACATTGTTAGGATATTGACCTAAACTCATTGAAGAGAAACAAAGGTTTCCTACCAGATGGGCCCAGACACTATTCCCACAGCTGGTCAGCCTTGCCCTAATTCCATTCTCTACATTCCCAGTCTGTCCCAGCCAAGGAAGTCACGGGGTTTCCTAATGAATATAAACAAATGCAGCCAGCCCTCCAGAACCAGATCAGGAAAACACATGCACCCCAACTTGCTGGGATGAGCACAAACAGAAGTCATACATGTGTGATGTAAACGAACTGATGGCTAATCTTACCTAGGAATTCAATACAAAATCTTAAAATATTAGGAAACAGAACAGAAAAGTATATTGAAACAATAAAACATCATGACCAAGTGGTATTTATTTCAGCAATTCAAGGATAGTTCAATATCAGTAAATCTATTATATAATTCATATTAATCAAAAGAAAAAATTTATACAGTCATCTCAAAAATGCTACAATGATATTTAATAAAATTCAACATCTGTGATGAAAAATATAGTTGACCTTGTTAGGGGCACCCAGCACCTTCCTCCACAGTGGAAATTTGGCATCTTACTTATGTTGGCCTTCTGACACTTGGATTCCCATTCACCAGCTGACCCAGGAGCAACCCAGGGGTGAGCTGCTTGGGTCTATTAAGAAAATCTGCATATTAGTGAATCCGCAGAGCTCCAACCCATGTTGTTCCCGTGTTGTTCGAGGGTCAACTGCACTTTTAATAAGATATGACTAGATGGCTCTTTCCTTAAAATGGTTACATACACCTGGGTTGACCCAGGGGCCAGCAGCATGTGCAAATGAGAAAACGTTAATGTCATTAATGAGACTCATTCTCATTAAAGTTCGGAATGTAATAATGAAATGATCATCACTATTTTTATTTAATACTGTTTCTGCAGATTCTGGAAACCAAAGAGACTAAGGAAGCAGCATAAATTAGAGGCACACAACTTCAAAACAAGAGATGAGATTGTCACTACTTGCCCATGTTATGATTGTGTATTTTGGGGAGGACCCAGGAGAATTTGCTGGAAAATTTTACAAGCAAAGAGAATTCAGTAAAGTGGATGGATACAGAATTACTGTATAGAAATCAATAACTCTCATGCACACAACCAGTAGTAGCAAGATAAAATGGAAATATTTTATGTACAACAGCAACAAAAATTAAACAAATCTAATAATAAACTTAATGATAAATATGTAAAAGCTACTTCATTTACAGTTGAGAATATTCCTGAGGGTCACAATAAAAGATAGGAACACATAAAAAGTCAATTCATATCATAAGGTTGTAAATTCTTTCAAGTAAGTTTGTAAACTTAACTCAATCCCGTAAAAGTATTCATAGGATTTTTCTTTCTGGAACACAGACAGGCTGAGCCTCAGTCCATACAGAACATCAAACAAGCAAGAAGAACCAGGACATTTTTAAAAGAGATCAATAATGGAATACTCTTTCTATCTGATAGTGTAACACACAAATTTTAAAATACATGTAAGCATAAAGTAAAATAATTAAAACAGGGTGGTACTGATACATAAAAGACAACTCAGTAGAATATAATAAATGGTGTGGAAATCAATCCAGGTACTGGAATTTGATGTATGATAAAGATGTCCTCTCACATAAGGGAGGAAAAAGATGAATTATTCACAAAATTATGTAAAGATACATGGGGAAATATCTAAAAAAATAAGGTTGGATCTATATCTCATATTTTACACTAGGAAAAATGTAAATATTTAAATGTAAAAAATTAAAAATGAACAAAAGACTAAAAGAAAGTGTAAGAAAATTCTCCTATAAACTTGGATGACACTCTTTTTGAACTACTATAAAAGCCCAGGAACCATAAAATGAGAAATTGCTTACAACTACTATATAAAAATAAAACTTTCATATGACAAAAACTACCATAAATACAGTAAACACTAACAAAATACTGGGAGAAGTACTTGTAATTCACATCACACAAAAAAGGGCTAAATTTCCCTTTTAAAACAGTCCCTACATATCCTTAAGAAAAATACCAACCCAGCAAAAAACTAGCTAAAGAACAGAAATAATAGTTCACAGAAAAGAAAATATACATGGCTATGAAAAAATGCTTGCCCTGGTTGGGTAACTCAGTTGGTTAGAGCATCATCCCAATAAATCCAAGGTTGTAGGTTTGATCCCTGGTCAAGGCACATACCAGAATCAACCAATGAGTGCATAAATAAGTGGAACAACAACTCGATGCTTCTCTCTCTCTCTCTCTCTCTTCCCCCCTCTCTCTCTGTCTCCTTTCCTCTCTCTGAAAATCAATAAACAAAATTAAAACAAAAGATGCTTCATCATTTATCAGATTGGTAAAGATGGAAAAAAAAATGTTGTGTAACAAGCTGTGTAGAAACAGTACTCTCCTACTTCACTGCTGGGAGTGTGAACTGCACCCCTGTGAGGGGGGATGTTGATAGCTACATTCTCAATGCACATGCCCTTTGTTCCAGCATTTCCATTTCTGGGAATTTACCCCACAGATAAATGCACACACATATGCCAAGTGGCCTAAATTCTTAAATATTGTGTGCAGTTTGTAATTGCAAAGATTTGAAATGACTTAAAGTTTCCATCACAGGAGACCCACTACTGAAATGGTGGCACACGCACACAATGGAATACTCTGTAGCTATAAAACAAAGCAGAAAGCTCTCCAGGCACTGATATGGAATGATCTCCCAAATAAAATTAAAGTAGAAAACAGTGTGTACAACATGCTAGCATGCTAGTAGTTTGAAAGAACAAACATACAATGCGTGAATTTGCTTGAGTGTCCATCAGTCCTATGTGGAAGAAAGACGAAGAACCTGGTGATGATCCTGGCACCCGGGATGGGACCTGGGCGGCTTGGGGATGAGGGAGGGAGATGGGACGCTCTGTGCTCTTGCACACTTTTATTTTGAGCCACGTGAATGGATTATTATCAAAACACACACAAACACACTCAAGTTTATGCTGTGATGTGTTGGCTGTACTTATATTTCAGCCTGCACACGCTTATGCTGAACTTGGCTGGAAATACAATCTCTTGTTAATCTATGTAGCTTTTGGGCTAAGGCACCAAAGGAGAGAAATAATTTTTTGTTTGAAAGCCTAAGTTCTAAAATAAATGTTAAATAAGAAAATGAAACATTAAAAAATAAAGAAAAACAAAGTTGTTCAACAACAGGAATAGTAGATTCACAGTTTGTTTAAAGCAATCAAATAAATATCAACAACAGAAATCATGTGAGTGTTTAACTAAACTGTCTCTAAGGAGACACACACACACACACACACAACTCTGGCCAGGGGGTGTGAGAGAATACAAGTTACTTTTTTGAGATATTTACATATTGTTGAATTATCCTGATTTCTTAATATATTAGTTCATTTTACAATTACAAAATCATACAAGTTTTAAACACAAAAGCGTAAGGTTCAATTGGTAAACAAATATAAATAAACATGTTTACACTAATAATAAAAGAATACAAGTTTAAAAGTGGCACCATTCATAGAAAATTTGTTTGCATTTACAGCTTACATTCAGTGTTATTTTGAGGCACCATTTTTTGGCTGGTAACGTAGGAATATTTAAAACCCAGGACACCCAACGCAGAGTGTGCCGGAGAAGGTGCTCTCCCACTGTAGTGGTGGAACATAAACGGGCGCCTTCCCCAGGTTTTAATTGAAATTTACAACATGCGGTGGTAAGAACTAACACAGAGAGACCCCACGTACCCTTCACCCACGGGCTTCTCTTTTAAAGAGCAATTTGTCAGTGCAAATTGAGAATCTTAAAAATATTCATGTTTTCATCCAGAAATCCCATTTCTTGGAACCTATCCTAAAAAAATAATTCAAAGGAAAGGAAAAGCTATAATGCATAAAAATGTCCACCCAAGACCATATATAAGTATATTTATATATATATAATTTATATATGCATCTATCTGTAACTTTAACCATAAAAATCAGTTCATTAAATAACACAGCCACTAGATAGACTATTCTAGATCCACTAAATCACATTTATGTAAACTATGAGGTAATTGGCTTAATACCTATAATATAATGTTGATTTAAAAAGATGCAGAACTTAATGCATCTTTTACATATGTAAAAATTTATATAGGAACAGCGAGTGGGAAAGTGGTGATGTGATGACTAATTATCTCTTTCTAAACTTTCTATAACATAATTTCAAATTTGATTTTTTCCATATTTTTCAAATTCAACTTTTTCTACTTTTGTCAGAATTTAATTTGAGGAGCAAAATAAAGTGAAAGATGCCTGTTTATGAATCCAGTAATGGGACACTAACTGCCCGGCACGGTCGGTAGCCTTGGGTGAGGAAAGAGCCACTTACTTGCATCGCACGCTGGAGAAGGAGGGCGCGCCCGCTGCCCCAGGTAACTGACAGGCCGCGCCTGCTTCTCCGGGGCCTGGGCACTGTCCACAGGCAGCACCTTCCCCTTGGGGATGCTAAAGAGGTCACGGAGGTCCTTTCTTTGTCTGGAGTCTTGGAGCGGGCTCTCAAAGGGTTTGTCTTTGAGTCCGAGAGCCGAAAAGAGCGAGATTTTTTTCTTTGGATTCCTGGAAGCATCTGGGAAGGTCTCTTGCAGACTCACTTTCTCAAGGAGCGTGGGGACATCTTCCATCTTGTTGCAGGATGGGGACGCGAACGCAGGAAACATCCTGGAAGGCCGGCTGGGCAAACTGCGGGTGCGGAGGGCAGGGTGAGGAAGGCGCGGGGCGGAGGTCTGGGCCGCTCTGGTGGGCGGGGTGCCCAGGGAGAAGAAGGTCGAGGTCCTACTTGCCATGTCTCTCCCGGGGGACTGCTGGCCCCAGTCTTTATTGGGGCTGGTTTTCCGAAGGCTGAATGAGCGAGGGCAAGCTTGCGGCTGGCCCATGGACAAAGCCGTTGATTCTGGTTTGGTCCAGGGCTTCCTCCCACCTTCGGAGTTTGGGAGGAGGGGCTCCAGCGACCTTCGGATGGCATTGGCAATGAGTCTCAGTGGGGACTTGGGGGGAGCCATGCTTCGCTCCCCTGGAGTCCTTTCAGTTGGGGCCCCATTTTTCTCCTGAGCCTCTGCCTGGGCTGGCGGGGTCTCTCTCCCCGCCCTAGGGAGCACCAAGGGGCGGACTGGTTTCAGCACCCGGCCTCCGCTACCATTCTCAGCACTCTTCTGGGAAAGTTGTGGCCCACCTTCCATGTGCAGGCTCTGGGGTTTGAAGTCATTCCAATCCAGCAGCCTGGTCTTCTGCTCCTGAGTGAGAGCCAACTTCTTCAAGCCTAACTTCTTGCCCTCTGCCAGCTCTGATCCACCCTCCTCTCCCTTCTGGGAATTAGCATTTCCTTCCCCTGAGTTTTCTCCAGCCCTGGGAGACGGCTCTGGGTCTTGCAAGCACCTGTCCTTCCCCGCAATGGTGTGTGGGCCTCTGTGGATGCTTCTGGGGTCCTGGCAGCCATCCGAAGCCATCTCTGCAGGGCTGGGTGGCCTGGGGCCTGCAAGGCCATCTGCACCAGGCCTCACCAGGCAGTATTCTGCCCGCTCCAGCACCTGGCCGTGAGGCAGATACAGAGGGATTTCTGTGGGTGCTCCTTGGGCTCTGGCTCGCCTCAGAAAGATTGGAGTGGAAGGACTGAAATGACCTCTTGAGAACTGCTGGGGGAAAAAATTGCAGGGATTTAGAAATTTCTACCATTTATTTTTATAAGGAAGGTACAGCTCAGTCTGTAGCCCCTGCCCCCCATCTCTCCAGGTCTCGGATACCCAGAGTCAAAAAGAATTCTGCCTAGGACGATTTCAGAGGGCAGTTCTTCGTTCACATGGCTACCGTGGGACGTGCTGGGATCTGCCTGGAGCCCCTGTATCAGCATCGACCCAAGGCTTTTCTGGGTCTCGGATTAGGTGGGTAGGAAGCCAGAAGGTAAGACGAAGACATTGACAAGCTCCTGGGCCTGTGATGGCAGGACTGGCCTGGCCCCTCTGGGTGGTTAGGCACACAGGCTTGGCTTGCCCAGCCAGGGTCCCTACCAGCAGGCACACTCCATGCACTGGTATGTTCCTCCAGCTACCAGGAAACAATGACCTCTGCCTTGAAGCCCCCTGGGCTGGAGCTGTGGTAGCAGGATGGCTGTTACAACCTTCCCGTGACTTTTCTACTTCTGACGCATGCTCCCACCACTGAGAAAGTAGCCGTTTCTAGTTTGCAGGAACTTGGCCCTTGGCAAAGGCAGACCACAGGTGGACGCTAAAAGGCATGGCTGTGCCCTGCTGAGAGCCCTGGCTGAGGGACAGACAGGTCAGGGGACAGGGGCTTCACGGAAGTATGTGCTCTTCTGTCTCGTGCACACTTTTGCCCAGAGCCCAGAGCAGGGTCCAGCGGGTCCCAGAGGCCTAATAAACTCACATTAAAGGAAAGAGTCCAACCTTGCATTTCTCATAGATGTCATTTTCTATACAAGGGAAATGCTGCTTCCAAGATTCTCAGCTCCTCCCAAAGGTACCCTCAGGTCTGTGCCTGCCCTCAGCACCCTTGGGGAAGGAGCAGGGTGAGTTTCTGGGAAAGGGACTTGGAAGGAGCCCTCGCTTTGCACACGGGGTGAGACACCTAACAGTGCTAAGAAACTAGAGCTAAGTGTCGAAGTGGGAGGTGCAGAAGCAGCTCACTTTCCTAACACCTGTGCAGGGCCCTGCGGGGTGCCTACCTGGGGTAGGGAGGAACCGTCCAGAGCTCTGCCTGTGACGCTGCCCGAGGAAGATGCTGGGGAAGACTCGGAGGAAGACAAGGAGGAAGGAGAAACAGAAGGGGAAGCCTCCCGTGGAGGTGTTTTGTGGTTCACTGGCGTCAAACCTACCAAGGAAAGAACACGTGTTCTGTTACAGAGTGGCTATTACCTTGTTTCATGCTGAAAAGAGGAGGTTGGGAGCACTGACTCTGTAGATGCACAGGGAGGAAGAATCAGAGGTGGATTTGAGGCCCGAGGCCCAGGGCCTGAGACTTGCAGGGACGAGAGCAGGAGTGGCAGCTCCTGTGGGTGAGGGGGGTCTCAGGAAGAAAAGTCCAGGAGCCACTGTGCTTTGTTCTCACGGGAGAACATCCCTGAAATGTTCTCACATGAGGTGAAACAGGAAGCCCTGCCCTGGGCATTTCCTAGAAATGGGCATCTACCTCTAACACTCCCCTCTGGCCATGGCGGCTGGAGGCTGGAGCCCAGTTAAAACACTTGGTCAGTAAACCACCTGTGGCCTCTTTCCACATGACGCTGATGCCGAGGCCGCACCACTAGTGGTGGGCACAGACAGGACAGGCCATCGCTGCTCGTGAAACAGCTTTTCTTTCTCACACGAGAGGGTCAGTGTGGGATTTTCAGAGAACACACGGGAGGGAGGTTATGATGAGTATCAAGTCATCTGAAGCACGTGGAGTGAGGCTCATGCCAAGCTTCTGCTGGTCAGGGAACAGACAAGGTGCAGTGGATGTGCTCAGAGCAACGGGAGACAGGAGTGTGGATGAGGCCGAGAGGACACGCCTGGCTCTGCATGGGGGCATGTGGGGGGGGGGGGCGGGCTTGAAATCGATTCGTTGAGCGACAGCAGATTTCGGATAGTGGTAGCCTAGAAGGTCAATCTTATTCTCCCTTTCTCACCTTCTCTCACGAGGGCACACACCTGTGCACAGACACCCCCTAGGAACCCTACTTCTAAAGTTGCAAGCATTTTGTTTCCATGCTGAGCTATGTCAGGAGCCTGCCCTCAAAGGGATTCAGAAGGCACCATGCTCTCTTTCAGATTTGCCCGTCGCTCTCTGATCCTGCAGCCGAGCCAGCTCTCCCACGAACCCTGCGGGCACACAAGGCTGCCCGGGACCACAGTCTCTCACTATCCACTCCTGCCGGACTCCCTGCTGACCCATTCCCACATTCCTCCGAGGTGCCCAGCCTGCAGGTTTTAGCTCCCTTCCTAACTCGGCACAATCCCCTGGCCTCAGTTTCCCCAACACTGTGGTTAAGAGAGGGGCTCCCCCTCCGGGAGTCACCCAGGCCAGGCCAAAGCCACGCCCTGACCCAAGAAGCATTCCTTCCAGGCCCAGCTCCACAGGGCACCAGGCAGGGGGGTTTCGGCATTCCGTCCTGCTTTGCTGATGCACACGTGTGAGCCTGTCAGAGCAGGTACCCCAGTCCCGGGCTCTGGAAAGACGGCCACCAGCCACATGCAGTCCGGAAGTCCCCAAAGGGAAGCCCTCCAGAATGCTTCAGGGGGAAAAGGCAACTCAGGAGAACAGATCTGAGGTGACAGGAAGGAGCTGCTGGGCAGAAAGACCGCTGGCTGCCTGGGGCTGACTCAGGGGAGGCAGCTGGCCGGTTACCCAAACCCCTGGCTCAGCCCATAGCCCCATCTCGGCCCACGGTGAGATGGTTCGAACCTAAAAAGGCAAGAGCTGTGAGCTGTTGCCCAGCTTCCTGTGCTAGGTTTGCCAAATTCCTGCCAAATTCCTTCTCCTCCTCTTCCTTGGCCCCTCTGTCTCCTCTATCTGCCACCTCCTGACTCAAACCCTGAACTTGTCTCAAGTCCCCTCAGCTCAACACACTGCCTTTTTGTTCCACCACGGAGCTTTCTGGGAACCTTCTGACTCAGCGCCAGGGCCACCTTGGCAGCCAAGCCCAACAGGAAAGCCTTGGGGTGCACAAGGTCCTGACCCAGCAGCTGTTCACTCTCTCCTTTCTCTCGTCCCCACCCTCGCCCCAGCTAGTGGGGTCCCTTGCCACACACGTTCCTCACGCACTGTCTCTAGGAGAATGTGGGGCAGGGGGAAGAGTTTGAGGAGATGGGCTAACAAAGCACCTGCCATTCAGGCCTCTGCTTGGGAGGTGGGTGCCACCTGGGAGAGGAAGGTGAGGCCAGAGCGGAGTTGAGCAGTGAGAGGGAATCTCACCTGCCCAAGGTGGCTGATGTCTCTGGGTTCCCTCAGAAAATGGTAAAGGGGTGCCTGGAACCCCACTTCCTTTACATCCACACCACCTTCCTGACACTGAGCAAGTTTCTTAACCCCCCACCCTGTTTCCCCCACCAGAAAACAAGAAGTCTACAGCTGCTTCAGGGGAGATTGAAGGAATAAGAGGAGATAAAAAGAGATGCCCAGTGTAGGATGAAAAAATGCTATTTGCTGGCTGAACAGTAATTCTAGTGCCACTCCCCTTCCCCCCCACACACATGGTGTCTAACAAATACACCGCTGAACCGCCGACCTGTTCCAGAGGGCGCTGCTCCCTCACGCCAGGCAGGATTTCTCTAACCTGTGCGTGCACTAAGTCCCCATTCGTCAGCTCAGATCCTTCTCTGCCAGCCCTATCTTTCTGTTAAACCCTGGCATGGGCCAGCCAGGGCTGCCCTGCCCTGTGCAGGGGCCTCAGTCCTGGGTGCTGCTGGTCCTTCCGGCCCCTTTGTGCAAAGGGGGCTGATGAGCCAGGGTCACAGCCCCACAGCCCATCTGGATCAAGTGCCAGTCCTCTGGGCCTTCCGGATCCTTGAGGTCATTCAGATGAACATGGTCACTTGGAGGAGGGTGCCAAGGGCAACTACACAGAACCAGCCTTTTGAGGGTAGTGACTGAACAGAGAAGCTGGTGCCCCATGTTTGGCTCCCTCTACAACAGGACTAGACTTGCCCATTGAGGTTTCCTCTTGGGAAATATGAAAATGACAAAAAAAAAAAAAAAGATAGCTCTAGTGGCTTTCAGCTCTGGGGATTTTAAGAGACTGGGACCGCAGAGTTCAGCTTTCCAGAATTTGGAGCTCAGGCAATGGTCCAAATGCTCCCAAAGTCTTGGAGCGCCCTCTAGGGTCAGCAGCCTGCACAGTCCTGAACGCATATGCTTCATTTGTTTCTGCACTCAGTCCAGCCTGCTTGTTTCCTAGTTTGTTCATTCATTTGCTCACTCTTCACTCCTAAACTCATTCATTCGTCTATTTATTCATTCAGCAAGGAAGTACTTGGAGCCTCCTTTGGGCCAGGCTCATGCTAGGCACTAGGCCCATAGAAATGGTTTGAACTCAAAACCTGCCCTCAAACCTCCTTTTACCAATACCTGATACTCCCGAGATAACTAAAGACAGGCTGAGGTCTCCAGGCCCATCCCAGCAACCATGCTGCTGTCCCCCAGTCCCCTCTGCTGGTGCTCAGTACAGATGATTGGAAGCACTGGGATGGAATCTGCACCCAAATGGACCCACCCACAGAAGCAGAAGTCCCATGACTGGGGGAGGGGTGATGGCGGGGCAGGAGAAGAGATGGCTTGTGGAAAAGGCCTGGCCCAGGTCCTTGGGAAACAGTCACTGGCTCCTTCCCCTCACTCTTACTGCCTGGAGCTGTAAGCTGATCAAGAGTTATTTTAGGTTGTCCCAGGTGAGGTGTCCTGCCCAGGTGTGCAGCCCCGATCTAGCCCCAGAGGCACCCCTGTCCCCGACTGACCCAGTAGAAGAGGCTGCAGGTCTGGGGGTTGCTGGGAGAATGACTCACTGGCGCTGACTCAGAAGGAAGGAGTCAACTAAATCAGCACTCTCTTCCAACTTCAATAACGTTTCATTTTTAGAAAACTTTGACCCAAGGCTTTCCTGGGATCGTCTCTTCTAGAGCGAGGTCCGGAGAGGGGTGTAAGGGCAGGAAGAGGTGGGAGGCAGCCGTGGACTTGGAATCGGAAGAAGCCCTGCCCCTCTCAGGCTCAGCGAGGAAATCCCTGCTCCGTAATTGCTGCCCAGGGAATATGGGCAGCCCTGGGATGCTGGGCTGTGGTCGCTGCGCCCCCTAGTGGGAGTCTGCTTCTTTGGCATCCACCACGGGCTCTGGACCTCATCCACCCTTCTCTTCCTTGGGATTCGAGGACCAACTGCCGGCTCTGAAAAAAGGAGCAGGGCAGTGTGTATTTGCACATTTGCACACATTTGCTTACAAGCATATATATGTGTGTGCGCGTGTGTGCGTGGCTTCCTTCATTGCTTTGCCCATAACTGCATGAAGTTAAGCTCAGGCTCGACTCCAGAGTACTGAATCAAAACATAGTGACCCAGGGCCTCAGAGTCCTCATCGGTGCTTCAAAAAGCTTGGAGCTGATGCAATAAGGTCCCTTCCAAGTGGAACTGAGTTCTAAGGCTCCATGACTCTGGAGTGGGGAACTGAGGGGGAAGGGAAGGTCCCAGATCCCTTGGGAAGTGCTTCCTCTCATCAGCAGCGGAAATAGGGTCAACCTTGTATTTCTTTCCTTGCCCCTCACATCCAGGAGGTCAGGTCAGAGAGGCCATGTAAGGAATGAGAACAGCTGTCCATGAGAATGAACCAGAGAACTCTTGCCCACCCAGCACCCATGCCCACGCCCACCCCCACCCCCAGAGAGCTCATGACTCACTCGACTGGAATTTTCTTCTCCAGCTCTGGTGTCTGTTGGGAAACTGGAAGCTGCTGGCCCGCTGCAGAGCTGTAGTGGAAAAAAGAATGGGGCGGGGAAGATGGGGAGGGAGGAAGAGTCTGTTAAACATGTAGGAAAAAGTAGGAAGTTTTCTCCTCCGGTCCCTTTGCCAAAAGTTAATCAGCTAGTGATCGTGATGGACTGAGCCCCTTCCTTCCCTCCGACTGCACCTTCCTGTCCCCACAATGCACACCTCCGATTTCTCACTCACTCATTCATTCATCAAATATTTATTGAGACCCTGCTATGGGGTCTCAATAAATACTAGAGATACTGCTTGAAGCACTGCCACCTTGCAGAAAAGGGCTCATATTATGAGCTATCATCCTAAACTGTCCATCATTAATAAGCACATATATGTGTACATGTTTATTTGCCTGCATGTATAAGCCTATACCTGCAAGCCCACCTACACACACTTACTTGTTTTTAGCAGAGCCAAAGTCTCACATCAGTGCCCTGTATTTGCAATAGATAAAAAGAGGGCTGCTCTCACTGAAGCCTGGAGGCTGCAGAAAGCTCTAACCTCTTTTCCCCTCCCCCTCAGAGCCCTGGAATCCTCTGGGGACCAGTTTTAACTGAACCTCTGCACCATCCATTGCCCCGAACATCCCCTTGGCCCTTGGTTCCAATGGGAACATGTACAGGAAGCTGTGGACTATGCACCGGCGGCCCTCCTGCCAGCTGGGCCTTGAGAATTAGCTGAGCGGAGTGAACACCAACCACATGGGGAAGAAAATTCCCATACTGGGCCCTCAGATTTTGCCTCAGGCCCCAGGTCCCTGTGGTGGTTCCTTCACAGCCTTGGGATAAAGAATGGGGGTCACTGAGGCATGCGCAATGCTCACACAGGCATGGCCAGGAGGCATGGAAGGAAGCAAGGCCGTGGGAGTGCTGTGGGTGTGGGAGAAGGAGTGTGGGGAAGGCCTGAGTGCAGGACGCTCTGAATCCAGGGCCCAGCTGGCACAACCCTGTCTCTCTTAAAGTCCTGGTGCCACTCCCCGGCCGGTGCTCAGAGCTGGTGTCAACTCTTCCTAGCTGGGCTGTGCAACACGCGTGCCAAACCACCGCCCAGGGCTGCCTTTCCACAGGACCAGGACCTTCGGCACCTGACACCCCTCCCCACCTTACTCGACTCAGAGAGGCTTGGAATCTGCTCTGACTGGCGGGTCCCCATCCCACAGGCCTGGTTCCATAATTACACCCGTGGGCTGAGGACAGCCTGCAGGGACAGTCACGGGGTACATCTCCCCATCACAGGGTGAATGGCCTGCCTACAATTTTGGTCCACTTCCGCCCACCAAGTGCAGGTCAGGGTTTCCCAGGCTGGGCGTTTGGCACAAGGAGCAAGCAGGCCTTGCGCACAGCTCTGTCCTGCCAAGCAAAGTTGACCTGTTCATCAGCTAATGGAGAAATTACTCCAGAAACAAAGAAGGACGCGTTAAGCTCTTATTGCTTCCCCCTGGCTTTTAACTCTGTAGACTGGAACTTATGAGAAATGGCTGAAGTTCATGAGAGATTTTCCATCTCTGGTGCACATAAGGTGACACATACACATTTTTACCACAATAGGAGCAGCAGGGCGGGTAATGATCTGACCTGGCAGTTCTGAGCAGAGTAAAGCAGCGCTGTTCCCCTGTCCTCCTCCCTCTTTTTTTTTTTGCTATTTATTTATCCGTTCACTCATTTATTTATTTAATTTCTTCATACCTATTTTAGGGAGTGCTTTTGGACATCTTACAGGGTATTGCACCATATGGTGCTAATGTCATTTTATTGTTATAAACTAGGAGTGCCTTCCATAGGTCAAAGTATTGTCAGAAAAATACCAAATTCTCCAAATCAGAGTAAGTAGGGGGGCCGACTGTCATCCCAACTCTAATTGGTTTATGTCCAAAAGTCCAGGGCACTACATCAACTCATTTAGTTGCTCAGGCGTGCATTCTAACCACTAGCTCATCCAGGCTGGCCTCTGGGAAGCTACTCTTCTGAGACTCCCAAAACAGGGGGGTGGCGGGGGGGGGGACATGCGGCCCTCCTGCTGGGAAGTCTCTGCAGGGCCGACAGAAAGTACTGGGACTTGGCCCTACTGTAGACCCACTGAGTCTCAATTTCTCAAGGTGGGAGGATAGAAATATGCCTTTTAAACAAGATTTTAAAGAATGAATAAATTAGGTGTTTTAGGAGAGCATGGCAGAGAGTTTCCTCTGGCGTCCATAACACAGGGCTGAAGTTCTGTTTCAACCTGTCACCTTGGGTGTGCTCTGTGCTGAAGAACCTTGAGGAGGTGATAGGTTCCTTGGTGAGCTGAGGTAGTCCCAAACTGTGGTAAATACATATAACATAAACATGACCATTTTAGTCATTTTTAAGTGTAGAGTTCAGTGGCGTTGAGGACATCCATGTCGTGGTGCTACCGTCCCCACCCTCCATCTCCAGAAATCTTTCCTTGTCCCGAACTGAAACTCTGTGCCCATTAAACAGCTCCCCGCTGGCCCTCTTCCCCTGGCCCTGGGGAGCACCATTCCACTTTCTGTCTCTATGAATCTGACGATTCTTGGCCCCTCGGAGAAGTGGAGATCACACCACACCTGTCTTTTTGTGTCTGGCTTATTTCACTCAGAACAATGACTCCCAGACTCATTCATGTTGCAGTGTGTGACAGAATTTCCTTCCGTTTGAAGGCTAAACGACCTCTCGTTGTGTGGCTGCAGCAGTTTGTTTATGCCCTCGTCCTCCTGTTGACGGACAGGTGGGGCGTTTCCCCCGCTGGCGACTGGATGCTGCTGCTGTGTGTGAGCATGGTGTGCCTGGCGGGATTCTTTGTGAAGCGGTTTGTCGGTTTGTCTTGCTCTTGCCCAGCATTTTCCCCTGCTCCCCTTGGAGCCATGGATCCGAGTGAAGACTGTGGTCCATAAAGTTCCCCGATACCCACAACCTGATGCCAACTCTACATCATCTGGTAAAAGGGTGCACTCACCACAGAAGCCAACACAAAGCACGGCACTTACACCATGCTGGAGGTCTGGGCCTTACAACGTGGCTGGCTTTGCAGTGACCAAAACCCTCACAGATGAAGACAAAATCGACGGAAGAGGGTCTGAAAGTCATGTGGCCTGTCCCCCTCTCTGTTCGCTAATATTTTATTCTGGGATTAAACTGGACTGTCAGAAACACATTGCTTTGGCTGCCCGGCCCTGTGTTCTCTGCTGGACCCCAGACCCCTGGGAGAGCTGCTCCTGTTAAGCCCTGCCCTGTGGCCAGGCCCTCACCCACCCATGAGGGTGTACATGGAACAGCTGCGGGGGTACTCTGGCTGCATGGTCTGCAGAGCCACCGTTCAGGACAGGTCCAGTGCGTCTCTCAACACCATCTATTGACGTGAGCTGGGAAATTTCTCCCGGGCAGAGCGTTGGAAAAGTGGTACCTGCTCTGAGACCTGTCGCTGCAAACCAACATGGCATTCCCTCCTGAACAATGGGAATAAGACCGTCTATTTCCTTGTTAATGCTGGCAGCCGGAGAATCGGGAATCAGATGTATGATTCCACTGGACCAACTGTTTGGGACTGTGATATGCTCTCTGAGAGCTGTCCCTTCTCAACTGGTTTCCCAACCCTGATCTCGAGGCTTCGGTTTTGTGTATATAAACACACAGTTTTGTTTTATGTCTTTCTTATGTGTTGCCTAAAATCCCCTGGCAACTGAAGGGAGAGGAGAAATAGGAGGAAGGGATAAAAGGCAGTCAGGATTCATATTTATGAGTGAGGAGGCTGGAGTCCTGGCAGGCAGACAGGCCAACCGAGGCCAGCAGTGCCCAGACAGAGGCAGGCTGCCCCTGGCTGGGCACTGCACAGCACTCGCTTCACTGCAGGTGCTAAGCCTTTTCTGGACAGCTCCACAAGTGGTACTTGGCAAACGGATTCTTTAAAAAAAAAGACGCTCACAGAGGGAGGTAAATTCAGAGTTTCCAGGATTTGGGCCTCAGCCTTGGCCTTCCTGGTGCACCACATTCATGGTTCCTGTGAAACTAGCCCCCGCTGGTGAGAACATTTCTAGGATCAGGTGGAGACTCTGCTCTCCGCCACCAGAGGGCGGTGCAGGACAAGTTGAGCTCCCACTCTCCCAGGCCAGCCAAAGGCAGTGGTGGTTCCTGCTGGTGGCAAGTTTCTATTAGCCTGTTCTTCCCACCTGGAGGACTCGCACTACTGTTGACTGAATAAAAACACTTATTCAAACCACCTTTCCAAAAACAAGTTGGGTATCTAAGGACAACTACTTCTTAGGGTGCAGAGGCAGCCAGTATTGGGCCATGCTGCGTGCTTGCAGGGTGCCCTCAGGAAAGCAGTCAGTCCATTTGCTCACCTGTGCACAGAGCGCCACAACGTTGACCTCACAGGGTCATCCGAGGATGGCCCGTGTACAGGAAAATCCCTGCCCATTCCAGGCACTCAGTGAAAGTGCCTTTATTGTCATATAGGTTGTTTTCCTGCATTCCACGAGTCCCAAGCACTGGTACTGGCCCTGTGCTGCCCCCAGGTAGCTCCGGGCAAGCTGCCCTACCTGGGGTCGCATGTGCTCCCAAAGCAGCTGAGCCCACCCCCCTTCCCTGGTGGAATGCCGGAAGGGCCCCTCCGGAGATACAGAGGAGGCAGGAAGGAGACTGCTCCAGGTGAAAGGGTCCTGGGGCCACCTCACGTCTGCCTGCCTGGGACACACAAGGGCAGCCAGGCCCCTCAGCCACCTTCTTAGTTGAGATTCCAAAGCTTCCCATGAAGAGAGAGGTGGGCCTGGGTTAGCCCTACTTGCACCCTAGCCCCCTAAAGTCCCAGCCCCACTGCTTCTGAGCCTGTGGGTCACACCTCCTGTGACCGGGGCCTCCCGTGCAGGGGGGCTCTCTGCTCACCATGCAGAGCTCTGGGCTCCTCAGGGCTCTGGGCCGAGAACGTCCTGGTCTGGGCCTCTCTCAGGGAGCTGTGGCGAGTGAGGAGCTGCGTTAGGGGGGCGGGTTCTGGCCGAGGGGGTCTTTCCTCACAGGGCTCTGCAGTGGAGGCCTTGCTGCCGCCGCCACCTCGGTCCAACTCTTCATCCGAGCTGGAAGGAGAGGAGAGAGCGGGTGATGGGAGAGCCCTGCCGTTCATCCCCCAAGGCCGCAGCGCACTCTGCCCACCACCACCTCCAGCAGGCCATGGGGTTCAAGGGTGAGGGTGGGGTGGTTAGTTCCCCCTGCACCCAGCACCTGCCTCAGGCTTTGTTGTGGGCTGAACTGTGTACCCCCAGATTCACATTAAGTCCTAACCCCTAGGTTGCTTTTAGAGGTAAAATCTTTTAAAAAGTAATTAAGTTAAAATGAGGTCATTAGGGTGGGCCTTAATTAATATGACTGGTGTCCTTACAAGGAGAGGAGATTAGGACACAGCCGGGCGGGCAGAGCAGGAAAATGTGAAGACAGCCGTCTATACATAAAATAAGGAGATGGGCCTGGAGAGGGTCCTTCCCTCCCTCCCTCAGAAGGAGCCAACCCTGCCGACGCCGTGACCTCCCACTTCCAGCCTCAGAGCTGAGAGAAGAAATCTCTGTGGTGTAAGCCGCCCAGCCTGTGGCACTCTATGGCAGCCCCAGCGATGAGTACGGATCGCATGTGGGTCAGAACAGGTGAAATGTTGGTCCTGACCCTTCAGACATTTAAGTGCTGCCTGAGAGTGGAAGGGGCAATGGAAAAGACTGCCTGGGACCCGGGGGAAGGGCATGTTTAACCCAGTCTTAAGTGACCAATGGCAGGCAGGAATTCACATGGCAGAGAGGTGGGAGCAGGGTGTCCTAAGCAGCGGGGACAGCCCAGGCATGGCCCGAGGGTGATTAAAGTGACATTTTAGTGAATATATATATATCTCATGTATTTCCTCTCTCTCTGTCTCCATATATATACACACACACGTGATACATGTATACACATATGTGTGTATATGTATACTTGGTCTGTGTTTATGCATATGAGGCCTGTCCTTGTATATTTGCTCTCTTTCTCCACATACATGTGCACACATATACATATACATGTGTGTATATGCATGTATGTATCAGTGTGCTTCTTTTTACTAGGTCGCTGCCCCTTGTCCATCTGGGGGCTTTGGTGGGCTGCCCATTTGGCAGGCTGCCCGAGCCCGCCAGTCAGTCATCCCAGTCCCGTTCTCCAGTTAGCCCCGGAGTTAGCCCCTGGGCATGTGACGCGGGTGGCCCCTTGGGAGGCCCGCCTGGAAATCCCGGTATGTGGGCATGAATTGCCGGGTGTGGGCTGAGGGAGGCCTGCACATAGAGACAGCCTCTCCGCCGGCTGCTGTAATCCCCTGTGTGGAGAGGCCACCAGGGGGAGGCAGCTCTCCGAGGCTCTAGCTCCAGCCTGGGCTGGAGTGGGCACCACCCTTGCCCTTCCCCATCAGACGAACCCAAGTATTTGCCTTTGTTACTTAAGCTAGTTTGAGTCATTCTACGCAGTCTGCATATTAATTCTTCGATCTTATGCACCCTGTGAAACAGGTGCTGCGATTGTCCCCATTTTACAGATGAGAAAATGGAGGAACAGAGAGGTTGTACTACAAGTCAGCAGAGACAACACCAGCTTCTGAATGTGGACCCCCCTTCCCAGGCCATTCTGCCCTGTCCTGCAGCAGCCTGAGCATACCTGCTGTCGTCGCTGGTGACCAGGACACACACAGCCAGCACGTCCTGCCCAACCACGTCCTCCCCGGGGCTAATCCTCACAGAGGTCCACTCGGCAGGTGTGGGAGGGGTGGCTTTGCCTTCCCCATCACCAGGCTCGGGCTCCGCGATGCTCTTGGGCTTCTTGGGGGAGGTTGGCTCATCTGCCGAGAGGAGAAGAGGGTCTGGGGAGATGGCGGCACGGCCAGCCCTGCAGGTACCTGCTCCCCCGGCAGAGGGTTGGGCAGGCTGCTGGCGGGGGCTGGAATCTGCCCCTGGCTCCGCACTCCCTCCCTGTAACAGAGGTGTGTTTTGCCCTGTGACCTTGTTGTCTGTCGCACCACAGAGCTGGGAGGCGCCTCCCGGCACAATGGACATGAGACTTGACCGGGAGGCTTGTTTTGACCAGTGGAAATCAGTGGATGTGATGTGACTGGCGGCTTTCAACGGCCTTGCTGTTTGGTGTGTCCACCCACACTCCTGCTAGTTGGCCATAAGAAGAGCTTGTCCCAGCCGGCCACCGCCCCTCACGCCTTGGTCCCCGATTGCGGGCACATGGAGCAGGTCAGGAGCCAACCTGCGGCCTGAAGCCTGGCCAGTTCCATGAGAGCCCAGGCCTCCTTTGGCCCTGCAGCTGGAAGTGGAGCCACCCAGACAATCTGCAGACCCATGGGCAAAAAAAAAAAAAATAAAGATGCTACAAGCCACTGAGATTTTGGAGGCTTTTACACAGAATTACTACAGCAGAGACCTGACTCTGTACCTGGTTCATATCTGAGCCCACGTATGTGTGCTCGTGAGCTGCATGAACAAATACTTATACAGTCAACAGATGCTACTGCTCCAGGCCCGTGCTACAGACTTGGAGGTGAATCAGCCATGGTCTCTGCCTTCAAGGGTCTTTCTGTTTCACAGGGGAGATAAGGCACATTCGCACATGTCTATGTAAGAAGGCAGGCCATCTCAGAGTGAAGTGGAGACAAGGTGGAAGGAGACAGAGACCTGACTTCTGTGCAGAAAGTGCTTGGTGTGGAAGGCACCACTGTGCCAAGGCTTGAGGAGGAGTAGGATTTGAACACACAGAGCAGAGAGAGGTGGTGCTCCAGGGGGTAGTCTCCTGGGAGCACAAGCAAAGTGGGGAAGCACAGCCATCTGCACAGAACAGAAAGTAAGGGCTGGAGGACAGGATGTAAAAGGAACCAGTGGGAAATGATGGCAGCAGCTTCAACCCAGAAGGGCCTTGAGGGGCGAGGCAGAGGGTGCACCAACTGCAAGAGCAACCACTGAGAATCAGAAGGTGGGGGCTGGCCTCATCAGCTCTGCATCCTAGAAAGATTGTTCTGGTTGCAGAGTGGACGGTGGACTGCAGGACCCTCGCGGAGCAGAGAGGGAGGCTGGTGGGGAGGCTAAGGGCAGAGAACGTGCAGCTGGAGAAGGGGAGTGAGGGAACCGAGAGCGGTGAGGCAGGATGGGGCTGCGGCAGGCAGAGGCGACCTGTGCCTGGCTGCAGTGGCACCTGGCCCACAGCCCCCACAGCCCAGGGACCAGCCAAACCTGCACAGCACATCCATGTCCAGCAGGGCTGGCAGGGGGAACGGGGTGGGGCCTCTGCACAGCTTCCTGGGCTTCTGGAGGGCTGGGGACATGGCTGACTGATGACCCCCTCAGTACCGCATGGTCAGGGCCAGCACCTCTCACAGTGAAGCCCAGACGTCAGTGGAGGGGCTGGGTGGGGGAGGGGCCGCGGGGAGGCAGACACTTTGTGGACAAGAAGCTGGTGCTTCCTCTGATCAACCTCTCACTCAGGCAGAGGGCCCCAGAGGAGCCTCGCTCTGCCCCTCCTTCTGCCCCGAGGTCCGGACCACAGCTGGGTCTCTGGGATTCAGTTCCGGCCCTCAGGCTGGGCCTTCTAGACACTTCCGTTCATCCCCAAAGGCTCCTGCGCACGTGCACACACCAGGAGGGCTAGCCCCAGTGGTACTGGTGGGGGTACTGGCAGTAACCTAAAGGCAATGCCAAAGCAACACCGACTCATCGTCCAACGCCCACGGTTAACACTCTGTGTCCATCATCTCCAACATCCTGGCAACCAAAGGGCAGGATTATCATCTTCATCGCCTGGGCGGAAGAACACGGAGTCCAGGGAGCGACTCAGCCAGGGCCACCCGGTGAGTCCGCTGCATCGGCTGCCTGGGACACGGATCGGCCCCAGGTGAAGCACCAGAGTGTGCCCTGCCGTGCCACCTGCCCCAGGCCTGGCTGGACTTTGCTTTAAGTTATCTGCAGTCATAGGAGCTGCTAGGGGAAGGAGGTACCACCTCGAGCCAACCTGGCCAGCTGCCCACGGCCTCCCGGAAGGAAGCAGGCCTGGTCCGAGCCGAGCATTGCAGCCTCCTCTCAGGGCTCTGGCCGCGTACGGGCTCCCTCGTGAAAGCTGAGACCCCGGGGGCAGAGCCAGGCACTGCCCTGGGGAGTGTCTGTCTTCCCACACCCACCTCTCCCAGCAGCCAGGCCCAGGGCCCTCTCCTGGCTGGTGGGATTGTTCCTGTTTCCACCCAACTCTGGAGACCCTTCCACTCGCCTCCAGAGCCAAGGGGGACAACATGTTCTCCTGTGTCTTGCTATTAACCCTGTTTTACAGGTTAGGAAACTGAAGATTGTGCCCCTGGGAAGGCAAAATGGAAGCAAAATCAAAACCCCTTTCTCCTAGTTGTTCAAAGGGCTCTGTGGAGGGGGCAGGACAGGCCGTGTGAGGATCCTCTCCAGGCTCTTCCTCCTGAGCCGTGAGCCAACACCAGCCAGCCCTTCCCCAGCCCAGGTCGGCCACAGGTGCCCCAGTCGGAGGTTCAGGCCAGGAGGCAGGGCCTGCCTCTCCTTTATTAACTCTACAAATATTTACTGAAGGCCCCATATGTGCCAACCATGGTGCCATCTGCTGGGGTTATGAAAGGTCAAAAGAAACAAAGATTTCTGGCCTTGAGGAGCTTGTGTTCTAGAAAGGGGAAGAATAAACAATACGCATAATCAGTACGTGAATTACATAATAGGTTGGAGGTAATAAATGCTACGGAAAACTGTCTAGTCAGGAGAGCTGGGGGTGCAGATTGCAGTGTTAAAGGTAGCTCTCACTGGGAGGGAGACATGGGAACAGGGACTTGAATAATGGGCAGGGTCAGCCACATGGATGCGGGGGAGGGAAGGGTGTTCCTGGCAGAGGGAACAGATGGTACAAAGGCTTGAAGACAGAGAGGAGCCCCACGTGGCTGGGACACAGTGTGTGAGAGCAGAGGACAGCAGGTCCTAGCGACAGGGGTCAGACCACATGGAGCTGAGTCCATTGCAAAACTAAAGCAGAACTAAAACACCTGCTGGCAGGTGGCAGGTGGCAGGAGGCAGGAGGCAGGAGGCAGGGGGGCTCCAGGGCTGAGGCTGGGTGTCTACAGGGAGGGTTGGAGATCAGAGAGCTGTAGACAGACAGATGTTGCCTCCCAGTGTGCACTGAGACCTCTGTTTAGTTCCCAACCCGAGACGTTGCAGCAGGTGCTCCGAGGCCCTGCTGACCTAGAATGCCTGAAGGAAGTCTTCCTCAGGACATGCCCTGCTGGGAAGACCAGGAAAGTGCCATCTAGAACTCATCCAGAGAGCTCCTGCCGCCCTGAGTGCCCAGCAGACGTGCTCACCAGTCCGACCTCCGCAGAACGCTACGACACTGAGTCAGCACAAAGGCTGAAGTCCAAGTCCAGGGCTCTTCCCACCTGCCAAGGCTGTTCTGAGAGCAGCACCTGACTCCTGGCCGGGGCCCCTGGGACTCTCTGTTCCCTTACAGTGAAGATACTGCTCCAGATGACCTTGCTGGTATCGGTGAAGTCCTCTAGTGTCAGTACCAACCTCCGGGCTGCCACGAGGAGGTGAAGAGTTTACGAGATGCTGCACATAAAGTGCTTGGCCCCGTGCCTAGCGTAGAGGGAACGCTCAGTCAGTAACAGCTGGCCTGGGACTTCTTCTACTTGTTTAAGGAATGAAAGAAAAAGCTGTAAAAGTGAATGAGTTCACAGAAATAAAGAACAGCCCACCCACTCTGCTTGACCCGCTTACTCTACTTAATATTCTGGCTGCACAGAAACTTGTGTCTTCGGCTGGGTTGTTTCTTTAGGACTAGTTCCCTGCGGCAGGGTCACCCGGCCAGGAGGGCAGTGCCCTCTACGGATGTCAATAATTGTTGCCATATTGCTTTCCAGAAAAGATGGTCCTCATTTGCTTGTATTCGATTCCAGTTACTCAGTTCATATATATTTTTTACAATCTGTGTACTGTTTTCTTTATTAATTCAGTGGGTAGAGCATAATCTGTTCACATTCCTCTTGTACATGCTTGCTCTTTCTTTTCAGCATTTACTTTTTAACTTGCTTAAGTGTGAGCTGTCCAGGCATGGCCTGTGCCCACCTAGCATTGGGTTTTTAATCGACAAACATGAACTGACCAGTGACCACGGTGCCAGGTGCCCAGGAACACCTGCTTTGCGTGGACATTTGAAATATCGCAGCGAGGTCCTTCTTTGTTATCACATCTAGTTCGGAATTTTTTCTCCTTCTGACTGCCTGTTAAATATTTTCATTTTTATTGTTACATATTGAGTTTTAAAAATGGACATAGATTTGTGCCATGTTTTCCCTATGTGATTTTTTTCTGGCAGGGGTTTTAAAGTTTAGGAAGTTACTACCCCAAGATATAATCAATGCTCAGTTGTATTTAATTCTATTGTTTTACTTTTTCTTGATTTTAAGTCTTTAATCCAATGTTTCAGGAATGAAGAATACTCTAGTAAACACTTATGTAAAATGTAATATGCAAAACAAAAACTGCCCCCCCCCAACAAAAACACTAATTCAATGAGGTATGGGGAAGCCCACCTGAGCGAAGTTAATTAAGCTCCTTTACTAGAGAACTCCTCGGTGACTTGGATGTGCTGACAAATCAAAGGTTTGGGAGGACTGGCATGATCGGTATAAGACATTTCTCACATTGCGTGACTAGGAAACCTTTTACTCACAAAGCACGTCTTGGAGCTGGTAGTGTTCCATTGCCACACTTTGGAAAAGGTTACTTTAACCCAACATCAAATGAGAAAAGCAAAGCCAAACCATCAGCTCCACGAGAGTGAGGC